AATATTTGTTTAGTGATTAGTTTTTATAAGATACAAATATATAATGATTTAACCATAAATAGGAAAAAAGTTGACACAATTTTTTTATCTAACATACCCTTTAATAAAGAGAAAATAAATAGCAAATTAGACGTCATCCATTTGCCATACAAAGTTCAAGAAACAGGAAATATACAGATGGCATGAGAAATCCAATACCAAACGTGAAATAAATTTTCCTGATGTCGTTAATTGGGTTCGAAGTGGTGGTGTGATTTTTTCTCCGCTTTTTTTTTTTTTTTTTTCTAATTCTCGAGTCCCTCCCTACCAAACATGGCCTTAGGAATAAAGAGAAAGTAAGCCTAATTGAATTGGTTTTATAAAATAATTTCGTAGATTAGGCATCTAAGTCAGGATGGCCGAGTGGTCTAAGGCGCCAGACTCAAGTTCTGGTTCTCGTGAGAGAGCGTGGGTTCAAATCCCACTTCTGACATATAATAATTTTTTTTATGTGCCATCTTTTACTTGCATTTTTTCGTCGCCTTGATTTCGTCTTGTACAATCATAGTTTCATTTTTCTAAAAATCTGTGCCGTTCTGTCTAAATCACTCGACATACTTAGACAACAAAATCATCATATCTATCAATGAAGCTTCCAATTCATATGTGCCATCGTTTTCGTGTGATCATATTTGTTTGGTAAAGGAAAGTTGTATGAATTCCAGTTGCATTTGCAAAATAATATGTGAATCTGTCCAATGCTCCATAATTTTTTCTTTTTTCACAATAACACTGATCGATCAGAATATAATTTCCAATTCATCTTCACCGTTAAATTGCTCTTTCGTTATCTGTCACAACTCACAATTTGCATCTGATTTGAATATTACATGATGTACTTGACTAAAGTTGTGAGGGACATTAGGTTTATCGATATCCAGGTAGTAATTTTCTACGAAGAAATTCATTGTTATCGAACATTGAACATGCTCCATTTCGTAACATTTAGCGAATTAACACTCTGAATCTCATATATTGTGTTGCTAATTGTTGACTTAATTTTGTTTGAAGAAAACTATGGATATTTTGTTGCCAGTTGTTATGGAACAATAAACAGGATTCATCTTGTGCACTGAAACACATAAAATTTAGTTGCCAATTATTGATAAACGTTACATCATTACATGTACTTACCATTGGCATCTAGAAATGGATCATTACTGCTGCTGGTTTACACAGGTGAGGGCTTCAAACACATTGATCATGGTATTGGATGCCTTTTCCACGATGGAACTGATCAACTGTAAGCTGCCCCCTCTTCATGCAACGACCACTTGTAACGGGTAAAAATCAACCTTTTTTCCACGCATTAATGACTTGTACAATAGGAAATGGGTGTCATTGATTAGGTAGATTTGTCAGTGGATATGAATTTAATGAAATGGGACCAAGTATTCCCTTTCAGACGATAGATAAAATTAGCAATTGGTCAGTATGCTTGTTTTGAAGCACATGCCTTGCTGCTGCAATTGTTCTTGGACCTTTTTTTTTCATTCATTCAGAAGTCAGATGAATATCAGTATATCACCTTTGACCTTTTTTTTCTTACATATGAACAGGCAAATATGACAGACTCTGAAAATGATGCTAGTTTAATAATTCTTTTTATAACGGAGGATTTTCTTTGACAGATTTTGATAAAAAAGGATTGGAGTTAAAGAATTCACCTAAAATTTAAAGAAAAACAAGAACAAGAACACAAAGAGGAACAAATACTCAGGGAAAGAACAAACAAAAATCCCAAAAAAGATTCAAACAAATAACTGACAATTGAAGATCTAAAATGTCTATCATGTCTAGAATAACCTTGAGTCCTTGACCACCTTTTATCATACAGCTTTTGTTTTGTTCTCTTAAACGATAGTACCAAATAAATTCACCAGTATTCTTTTTATTGTCTATAATTGCCACTTGTGGGTAAGGATTCGATTTTCTTTTTAAATAAATAAATTCACCTAATTTCTTTTATTGTCCAACAATTGCCACATTTTCTTGTGGGTAACGATTCAATCCTCCTTTTCATTAAATAAATTCACTAATTTCTGTTTATTGACCTATAATTGCCACATTTTCTTGTGCTTAAGGATTCAATCCTCAGTATAAGGTTACAGTTTCCGGTTTATTTACTTTTTGGTTAAATGGTTTTTGGTTCTCCTCCTCTATGCTGCTCTCTACCCCTCTTGTCTCCTCTCTACACCTCCCTCTACCCCTCTTGTTTGCCCTCTATGCCTCGTATAGTCGTATGTAAAAACTCGTTGTGAACAATTATGAAACGTAGAAAAACTTTTTTAATATAATTATTTTAGATGATATTACTAACAACCCATCCAACTACTAAATTTTTTCTATCCAGTTACAATTTTTACCTCAATTAAATTGGAGACAGGTATTTGAATTTGAATCATGAATTCTCATTAGCTAAAATGTCTAACAATCTAGACCTTGACCACCTTTACTATAAAGTTTTTTGTTTGCTCTCTTTAAAGATAATAAACATAGTAAGTACTACTTTTTTATTAAATAGATTCATTAATTTCAATTGAATGATGTCTTATAATCGGTGACATTTTTTTTTCAGCTAGCAACCATTACAAAATACGAGCAACATTGATTGATATTGGTTTACATAATTCCTCTATTTATTAAGGATATTTATTAAAATAATCATTATAAATAAGATTTTCAATAAAAGAAACATTTTTTTGTGTTTTGTGAAAATGGTATTGTCCTAAATTGTCATTCCAGACTTGTTCTTGATAGTGTGGATTGACCAAAAATATTTAATGTAGCACATTTTTATTAAATTTCTCTTCACTTATGTCTTAAATATCTATTTTGAAATGTTTAATAAGACTATTTTTTAATCAAATGTGTGTATGAGTTTATATGTATATACCTCCCTTTGATATGTTTTTTAAGCTTTTTTTGTTAAATTTTAGTAAATAATCGAAGTATTTTCTCCAAATTTCGAAATTGTTCATTAGTTTCCGGACTTGTTATTGAAATCCCGAAGTTTTTCTCTTCCAAAATCTGGAATTTTGGACCGAAATGAACTTTTTTGACACAAAAATACTTTTGACTTGAGTGGTCCGGAATTAGAGGTGTTAATAAAAACCGAAACCAAACAAACTGGTCAAACCGAATAAGGTTCAATTGATTGGTTGAGCTTATTCGGTTTAGTTTTTCGTAAACTCAAATTCTGAAACCTTATTTAGTTTGGTTCACTTAACATTTTCACCATTCAATTTAACCAAACAAAATGATTAAGACTTTAAAGTTATAAACCTTTTTACTTTCTAATTTTAAGTATACATAGACATTCTATAATTCTATAATAGATTAATAAACAATTAATCTGATGACAATCATTATGGATGATGTTTGGTGTTCATCTACTTCTAATCTTGTGCAAGAAACACTGTCAATTGTGTGCACATTCGTGATTTAAAATTGAAGGACCACGGCATCAAGCACAAATATTATTATTATTTTTTTTATTTACTGTTTGGCTGCTATAAGGCTAAGGGGAGTGGTGTTGAGCTCTTTGAGCTCCACCTCAGCTCCACCAAGGAAGAAAAGGGGGAAGATGGAGGAAGAAGAAGCGAGACTCGGCTTGCCATTGCCGAGTTGTCCTTCTGATCTCGGCATGCCGAGTTCAACCCAGTGTTCGCCGAGTCCATGTCACCTCTGACGAGGGTGTGCTGAGTCAACTCCGTGCAACCTAATGGACAGATTAAATGATTATTGGCTTTGGGTTTTTAGAAAGTTTCACCACCTTGCAAATATGTTTGTGTAGGATAGTGTACAAAGCAAAGTTCAATGGATGGTATCATGGTAATATATAAGTTTGTTAACAATATTTATAGAAAATCATTTTTATGTAAGAGAAATATAAGTTTGTTATTTGTATTTAACCGTAAACTAACAAAACAAACCTAACCAATTAAATTGACAACTGATTAAAGTGAATCTTATTTGATTCGGTTTTTGTTAATATTTTAAAAGCCAAAAAACTGATTAAAAAGAATAGAAGAATCCGATAACCAATTGGATCGACTAAATAACACTCCTATCCGGAATGATCCATCCCAAAAATATTAATCATTTAAAAAAATGGTTATTTTGTTTAATATTATAAACTTAAAATATGGTTTGTTAGTTAGGTGTTGTTTGTTTTTTCCAAAAAACCACTTTTGGCCACTTATTGTTGTGCCGCGCAGCATACGCGCAACACTTGGTCCTTCGCAACTGTTTGTTTTTCAGAAGACTTCTGACTTAAAAACTGTTGCGCGTGTGTTGTATGGCGCAACACTTGACCCTCTGCTTCAAATCACTTCACACCTTACTTTAACTTATTGCAGCAGTCTGTAGATGTTAAAAAACAAACATACTTTTTATTACATGTTGCAGCCGTTTGGTCCCCCTCTTCTGCTACAGAGAGTTACAGAGGTGGTCCGCAAACTTTCAGACATTTTTGCTTCGAAAAAACAAACGGCACCTTATCATCCTTTTATTTAATTGTTATCCTATGCTATTTTAATTGGTTGGGTAACGGTCATACTTTTGATTATATCATATTTTAAGTCAGAAATTGCATTTTTTTTAGACAAAAAGGAATGAACAAAGTTGACCCCTTAAGAAAAAACGTCTATTTAATTTGTTTGCCATAAAGATTATAGACTAACACTGATGTTAGTGAGATATATTATATAATCTTTTCTCCAACCCAAAAGGATGGAATAAAATGAGAGGGGGACCTCCTTTTGATCTCTGGTCCATGGACCTTAATAACCTCCTTCTCCTTTTGTTAGTCATGTCCAATCTTGTCCGGTGTTGGTAAAAATAAAAAGATAGGAGGAACATGAAATGAACAAGTAGAAACAAATTAAACTACGTTATTTTCCATTGACTAAGTCCACTAGGAAACATTGATCATTACATCTAAATAGTACATGCTTCAATCAAACAGTCAATCCCTTGTTGAAAACTGTAGACGGGACAGCAAAACGAGCTGAAAACGATCTCGAAAGATCATCGAAATCATTCACCATCAACCCCTGATCAAAATTTTGTGCATACTCACACGGATCATAACTAAACTGCGTCGTATTCAAAACCCCATGCACTTTCTTCTTCCTTTTCTTCTTCTTCTTCATCTTCTCTTTCTTGATTTTCCCCCACAAAATTCTCCAAATGGGCCCACCTTTCAAACCCATATTGATACTCACGTGGATGAACACGTGGTAGTGGCCGGTCTTGTATTGACTCCGGCAGCCGGAGTTGCACCAGCCGACAGTGGCTTCCATGGCTAATTTATAAGAAGTTAAATGGAAAATTGAAATGGGTAGAAACTAGAAAGAGGAAGAACTAAAAGACACTAGTAACCAGTCCCCCTTTAATGTGTGCTTTTGTAGATGAGTGGATATGCATATATGGCTCTTTATACTGATTTAGGAATGCTTTTCTGTGGTTGTTCTTGTCGTAGATATATAGTACTATATGTTTTTTTGTATATAGTTGTAAGACTTTGGATATAACGTAAAAGTCATGGGGTTTAAATATCATTATTTCTTATCCATTATTTAATACTTTATCACCATAGATTAATAAACAAATGGTAAAAAATAAATTATTCCATGATTATGTCTTTATGGTTAATGTATAGATAATTACAACATTAATTAATATGATCAATTAAGTACATTTCATGTAGATACCTTTTTGTTCATTCGAGGATTAATACAAGTGTTGGCGAGCCTATTGGCTAACAAGGAAGTCATGAGTTCAATTATTTTAAAACTAAGATAAATACCTTGTGTTTGATTTGGACGTATATATTTTCAACAATTATTTAGATATAAAGAGGAGTTACATGACTATACTGTTTTGTCATGTTCTCGAGATCTTTATTTTTCTTGTATCTTGTTATTATAGACATTTAATAAGGTTTGTGAATGGTTTATTAAATATTATATGCAAAATATTACCTCATCTTTGTTAATAATGTATTTTTTATCTAGAATTTTAATCCTAGTTAATTTGTATCTTTTGTTTTTATAGAATCGTTGCCTTGGTTTTCGGAACTTGTTCTCTTAAAAATATGATTAAAAGAAACTTTATTAGATAACATATAATCGAATTTTGTATTTTATAAAAGCAGTTATATCGTAATTTTTCTAAAATTAAAAATCAAAGACAAATATAATTAGAAACCAACAGAGTGAAAAAAAACTAACGAAGAAACAATACCATTCATAGCTGGGGAATAAAAGTGTGAAAATGTGGTAGGACATTGTAAACCAACAATGAACAAGAATCTACTGAAGCGGAACGAAATTGGTATACTTAATTCAGTACTTTCGGTTTATATCAATGCAAGCACTAGTTGTAATTTGTAAATGTATGTCTATTTAGGTGGTAATGTAATTTAAGATTCATTCCCCATGCTTTAATTTAAGAGACGTGATCGATAGAGCTAGATAGAGAAATGGTCCCAATGGAATTCTTGCAATTTAAGATTTAATATAAATGTATGTCTATGGTAGGTGGTAATGTAACAAAAAATGAATCAAAATACATTAAAAATAACAATGTTTAAATTTGATTAAAAAAAGATGTTGGAGTGTTAATAGGAAATTGGTGATCTAAATAGATAACTTGACTCCGAATGAAGTGAAGAAATCCGAATGACAATTTTATAAGGCTAAGTGTTTGAAGTAGGCTAAAGGCCGTTAAGCCTAAAGTCGTATACGAAAAACACTTATCACGTGGGAGTGCGGGGTGCAGAGACCTATTTAGTATTACAAATATTCTTGTATACAGACCCAACCCAATAATTATGATTTTCACATTTAGAATCTATAGCAAGAAGGGAGCTAAAGAGGAATACTCATAAGTGTGCTAAATATGCAAGATGTGTTAATACTTGTAACCTTGTTTCAATTGCATATGCATCAACAATGAAAGATAATACTGGTTCAGATGAGACAAGATCATATAAAAAGACTATTGCAAGTAAAGAAATTTAGATTAGTTGGTGGCAATAAATGAAGAAATGCGCTCTCTAGAAAAGAATGAAATATGAGATCTAGTACCGTTACTAAAAGGAGCAAAACTAGTAGGATGTAAATAAGTATTTAAAAGGAAAAAAGAAACTATAATGGTTCAATCAGAGCGATTCAAGGCATGGTTGTTAGCAAAAGGGTTCTCATAAAAGGAAGACATTAACTATCATGAAGTTTTCTCGCTTGTTATGAAGCACAAAATTGGCCATGGTGAGTGCATTTAATTTGGAGCTTGGACAACTTGATGTCAAAACTTCATACTTGCATGGTAATTTAGAAGTGAAGATTTATATTTGTCATCTAAAAGGGTTCATTAATGCCAAGAATATCAAGCATGTATGCTGAAGAAATCTCTTTACACTTTGAAACAATCTCTAAGACAGTGGTATAAAGTGGTTGATTTATTTGACTTCTCATGGCTATGATCAAAACCAATTTGATAATTGTGTCTACTTGAAAATTTGTCTAATGAATCATACATATATTTGTGCAAGATATATGTAGAGTCCTTAGTTGACACTCCAAAATAGCTCTTATGGAGAGAACGGTGACTCCAAAATATATAGAGACGTATATGAACATGTCACACCGATGTGAGATATACTAACACTCCCCTATAGAGACAAAATATCGTTGATGATATACATGGTTATGTCAAGCCACAAGGATGCTAGACGCCGAATTGTATAGCATGTAAGATATATTTATTAGTCGATATATATATTAGATATATATTATGTGTTTATTGTAAATATCTTTTATTATTTTGATGTATACGTGTTTCCATAGTTATAGGACCTGATTGTATTATATATATATATATATATATATATATATATATATATATATATATATAGAGAGAGAGAGGTAGGTTCAAATGTTTCTCACATCTATTGTGTGCTAGAATGCACCAATAAGAATTTAGTAAACATTAAATGTATATTAAATGATATCCATACTTATAATTTTTTTTATGGAAACTAATTAAATTCGTTATTAATGTCAATAATAATATTCTTTCAGAATGAATACATATATAAAATAATAAGAGTGTATTCTAGCAGAACGAGAGTATATTCTACTAGATTACACCCTCATTCTTCATATTCCATACAACGTTATTGTATTTTAAGTGAGTGAGTCCTGAAAGAATGTTATTGCTGACATAAAGACATAGATATGAATTCATTCAGAAAGAATGTTATTGTTGACATTAATGACGAATTTAATTAGTTTCCATAAAGAGAAAATTATAATTATGGATATCATTTAATATACATACAATTATGGAAATCATTTAATATCTATGTAACGCCCCGATTCTCGAATATCAATTTATGGTGATAAATTCTCATAAATTCAAGGTCTACTCGACGAGTTGGTTGCCTGACTCGTCGAGTAGCAGCGGGTTAGGCCGCGCACTTAAGTGACCTACTCGCCGAGTCCAAGAAGGGACTCGATGAGTAGGAGCTGGAGGATGAAACCCTAAATCTCGGGGTTTTGCACCCTATTTAAAGGATCATTTGCCCTTAGCCTCCCTTGGCAGCCTCCAGAGAGTTCAGCAAAACCCTAATACGTGTGTGTGTGCTCCATTGTGTGTTTCAAGCCTTGGAAGAAGATTCTTAGAGAAAGGAACTTGAAGATCAAGTAGCTAGCAGCAAGCTGCTTGTGTGGACCTGAAGTCTACCTCAGTTTAGCATCATTTGAAGGTAACAAGTTGTTACCTTGACCTTGTTCTTCCTAGATCTCTTCATGTTAAAGATTAGGGCTTTTATAGCATGGGTGATAACCATTTTCAGGTATGGGATAGGGTCTGAAGTTGCCACTTCAGATCTGAGCTCATCTTGGACTCTAGAGCCATAAAGTCTCCAGCTTTAGACAACATGAACCATTCCTTTTGAGTTAAACTTCATTTCAAGCTTAGTTTTGGCATTATGAGTCATTAGAGCCTTACATGCATGTAAAGTTTGCAACTTTACGTGATAAACGTGCATTGGGAAGCTGGATCTACAATTTGGAGCCTTAGCATGGCTTAAAATCGTCTGTATGAATAAAGGACTGAAGAGACTCGACGAGTTGTATGAACGACTCGGCGAGTCCAATGAAGATTTTCGTAGACTCGGCGAGTTGTATGAACGACTCGGCGAGTCCGATGAAGGTTGTCGTGGGCTCGGCGAGTCAGTCGAGTGACTCGGCGAGTCGGCGAGGGTTTTCCCAACCTTTGGACACGTTTGAACGCGACGGGTTATAAAGGGAAAACTCTGCGAGTTGGCCAAGGAGTTACGGCCACTGACCCTAGGAACTCGACGAGTCACACGAGTGACTCGGCGGGTTGGCAAGTTATACAAGGAACTCGGCGAGTAGCTAAGGGTACTCGACGAGTTAAGGTTAACATGGACTGTTGACCTTGATAGTTGACTTTGACCAAGGGTTGACCAGTTGACTTCTGAGGGTATTTTGATACATTGGATATTTATAGCAAAGGACATTGGTGAATATAGGTGTTGGAGTTGGAGCTACATTTGGAGGAGTTTGACACTACCTTCCGAGCTACTTGCGAGGTGAGTTATCCTCACTATATCAACAGGGTCTACGGCACCAAGGCCGACCCTTTATCAGATTTGTATCCGGGTATATTGCATGATATGTTTATTGATTTGTTAGATCTGCATCCTGGTAGTTAGGACGGTATTGTGTTTAGTGACCTGGTAGGTCGGTATCCTGGTATATAGGATGATGCTATGTTAGTGACCGGTTAGGTCGGTATCCTGGTTATAGGATGTTGCTATGCTATATGATTTGTTAGATCGATTTGATTGCCTATAGACTGTTATGTGATTATCTGTTATGTGTGCACATGGTTGTTTGATTGGGGGTTGGGTTGAGGCGGGTCCTACTTCGTGCTGTAGGCCAACATACCCAGGGCGGACCGGATAGACTGCAGACCCGGGAGGGCACATAGTCAGGCCGAAGGCCCGACGAGCGGTCCGGATAGGCTGAAGGCCCCGAGAGGGCGGACCAGACGTGTCGAGGCTCGGAGAGTGGACCAGATAGACTGAAGGCCCGATGCGGGCGGTTCAGTCAGACTGTAGACTTAGAGAGTGGACCAAGGTGCGCGCGGACCAGTCACACTGTAGACTCGAGATGCATGGCTGTTCTGTATTGGTTATATGATATATTATGGTTATATGAGGTTGGTATTTTGGGGGTAACTCACTAAGCCTTCAAGCTTACATTTATCG